CGGCAACCACAGCCACTCGGTCTTGGAAGGGTTGAGCCTGAGTCTGTTCCTCCCCATCCAGACCCGTACGGCCTCCTTTTCCTTTTGTCTGTATCTCTTTCCTGACTTGGAATAAGGCACGGACCGGATTTAACTTCCAAAACTCATAAAGAACTTTTCTAAATGTTTCTAATTGATCTACAGTATTCTCATGATGTCGTTGCCATCATATGCCATCAGCCCAAAGTCCTTAAGCTGCTGAATGGGGTCCCCAGGAAGCTTAAGTGTTTTGTGAAGAGGCTTGTTGGGCCTAGGGATCTGCTCTGGGTGTGTCTCCTCCCCGCCTGCTTTCCAAGCTAGCCCGCAAGAGAGACCAGCACTGAGATTCTGCCAAGTGGAGCCAGCAGGTAGGACTTCAAGCTAGCACTGATGATGTTATCCAGCTGGGTCATGAAACGTCTGCAAGAAAAAAACTGAGACCACCAAGCACCCCACAGTTCAACCCTGAGCCACAAATACTCTCTTCCATCGAATGTCAATCTCCTAGAAAATTAATGCTTTCCAAGTAAATACCAGTCTTCCAGTCTTCCACACAAACAAAGAAAACAATTAAAAAAGACAGATCAATGGGGATTAGGAGAGATGTTGGCTGAAGCGAGATCTCTTGAGCTGTCTACAAGCTCCCACTCTCTCGACAAGTTTTTTTTAAACATGGCTCTATCGATCTCCTAAAAGGCCACCTATTTGATTAATATTCTGTAACATAAGAATCTCAATATCCTATCCTCTCCCTGGACTTCTTTATGGTCATACTGACTTGGATATAAGAAGGACCAGACATCTGACAGATACAGACTAGATCGGCTAGCTAGCTGGAATTTGTTTTCTTTGGGTCCAGAATTATTGATCCAGCCAACTGGTGGCAAAGGGGGGGGGGCAAAGAGGGGAGGGGCGCTGTATTGATCTGCATGTGAGACCCATCCAGAAGGACAAGGGAGGAAATTATCCTCCCCACAAAAACCATCAGGAAACTAATAAAACTATTGGAGAAAAAATACATAATTTTTTTTTATTAACCTGTAATGTCTACGGAAATTCTCAGTCATCCAGATCATGGTTATCCTAAAGGTGTTTTTCAGGCGGGAACTGGACTTTCTTGTTTTTCTTTGAAGACGGTTTGCTTCTCATCCAAGAAGCTTCTTCAGCTCTGATCGGATCTTTTCATTCCCCACCATCCGGTCAGAGCTGAGGAAGCTTCTTGGATGAGAAGCAAAACGTCTTCAAAGAAAAACAAGAAAGTCCAGTTGCCTCCTGAAAAAGCACCTTTGGGATTAACTTGTAATGTTGTATACATACTAAATAGTAATTTAATTATATAGCTATATTCTTTTAAAAAGAAAGAAGTTACATAATGAAGAAGAAAAAAAAACCTATTTAATTACTTGGGGGGGGGGGGGAAAGGTAACTGAAAAAATGAAAAAGCAAAAGCAAAATCCATTCCATGTTATTGTTCAGGTAGTCCAATCAGAATAGAGCTGGAAGGGACCTTGGAGGTCTTCTAGTCCAGAGATCGTCAACCTTTTGGGCGCCAGGAACTAGTTCCGTAGAGAAAGGTTTTTCCACACACTGGAGTGTGCGTGGTTTTGTGTGCTGCCTGCATCCCACGGATGGGGCTTTGCTTGTTTCTGTGGACTAGTTGCTGGCATGCTGCGGCCCGATACCGGTCCATGGATCAGGGGTTGAGGACCCCTGTTCTAGTCCAGCCCCCTGCTCAAGCAGGAGCCCCTATACCATTTCAGACAAGTGACTATCCAGTCTCTTCTTAAAAATCACCAGTGATAAAGCACCTACAATAGGGGTGTCAAGCTTGCAACATCATGTGATGTGTCGCGGTGAATCGTGACTTTTTTACCATTGCCGGCAATGGGGCGGGCCATGACGCATCCAGCCCGCAGGTCGGCAGTTTGACACCCTTGACCTACAACTTCTGGAGGCCAGCTGTTCCACTGGTTAATTGTCCTCACTGTTAGCAAGATTCTCCTTAGTTCCAAGTTGCTTCTCTCCTTGATTAGTTTCCAATCCATGGTTTTTTGTCCTGCCCTCTGGTGCTTTGGTAAATAAGTTGACCCCTCCTCTTTATGGCAACCTCTCAAATACTGTAATATTGCTATCATGACACCCCTATTCCTTCTTTTCTCTAGACTAGCCAAACCCATGTCCTGCAACTGTTCTTCATATGTTTTAGTCTCCAGGCCTCTAATCATTTTAGTTGCTCTTCTCTGAACTTTTTCCAAAGTCTCAACATCTTTTTCGTAACACAGTGACCAAAACTGGACGCATTATTCCAGATGCGGTCTTACTAAAGTGGTACTAATACTTCACATGAAGTTACGGTTTTTGAGCCAGTTTTTGCTTAATCTGTATTTGTAACTTTGGTTTTTCCTGACTAGGTATAAATCCTTGCTTTTCTCCACATTAAATATCATTTTGTTGGATAGGGCCCATTGTTCAAGTCTGTCAAGATCTTTTTGGATCCTGAGCTCGTCTTCTGGGGTGTTGGCTATTCCTGCCAGTTTAGTGTCATCTGCAAATTTGATGAGTTTCCCTTCTATTCCCTCATCTAAGTCATTTATGAAGATATTGAAGAGTACTGGGCCTAAGACAGAACCTTGTGGTACCCCACTGCTTGCTTCCCTCCATGTGGATATAGTGCTGTTGAGGATTACTCGTTGAGTATGGTTTGTCAGCCAGTTAAAAATTACTTCCTTGCCATCTTCTCTCTTAAGTGGACCTACTGTTTCCTTGACTTTTTTCTTGTTATTTTTTTTTATTATCTTTGACTTTTCTTGCAAGTTTTTGTTCATTCTGAGCCTTTGTCAGGTCCCCTTTTGGGGTGCCCTGCCATTCTTGTGGAGGGGGGAAGAGGATGCTCCAGGGGAGCATTCTTTGCATGCTTTTGCAGTAACTGCATGGGAATTAAGGAGGGGGATCATCTTCAGAGATGGGATGAACTTTCTCCCAGTCAGTTCTGCGCCCTGAGGATGACCTGTTATCTATTTTGTACCTCAGCACTCTCCAAACATCCTTGCGGTGGACTGTTCAAGGGGGCTGGGTTTCAAAGTGGGAAGAATAGCTTTGTGCGGGAATGTTAGATTCCACTTGGCTTTACTGCAGCCACTGTCTTTTCAGTAAAAGCTGTTTTGATTAACCACCTCAAGAGTCGGACTTTCCTGAGGGGGACAGTTGGGGCAGGTCCTTACATTAAGTGGAATCTGCAATAGTGGTCAACCCAGAGAGGCACCTACCTCTACCATGGGGACCATGCAAGGATTTCGACCACAAGGCAGTGACCAAGAGAAAGCTGAGTGCTGGGGGGAAGCCTCTGCCAAGGCTAACCTTGGAGTGGACCTCTCGGAATGGACGGAAGAGGTCACCAGCCTGAGAGATTCATCGAAGCCCAGGTGGTCCATTGGTGTTGGAAAGAAAGACGACTGGGAAGGGAGGACTAAAGGAGTGACCCTCATCTGAGGCAGCCGATGATGAGAATGGCAAGTGGAGCTGGAAGAGCTTGGATATGGAGAGGAAGAAGGTGGTGAAGTTGATCAAGCCAAGTTCCTTATGAGGCAA